GATATATGTATGTATGGACTGAGAATCTTTGACTTGCTTCATTTCACAACTAATAAGGTCCAGCTGGCAGGCCGCCACAACGGCTTTATTCTTCACTGTGACAAAAAAGCTCAGGAAGATTAAAAAAAGACCAGGATTACAATAAAAAAATAATTTAAAAAAAATCCAGTTTTATCCAATTTATTTATACTCAAAGATTTGTCTTTTAGCTTGTTGCTCAGAAGACAAAAATGACTGCAGCTGCCATTGTTTTGTTCACCATTGACCTGCATAATAAAGTTACAGGGATAACTGTAGGCCATCTTCTGCTGGCGTTAGCATTATGACTTAATTTTATCTCATATCTTATCTGTTATCAAGTTTTTGCAATTCTTTTTTATGTGTTGTTTCAACTTGTTATTTTGACTAGTTTGCTTCAACTCTGTCTTTTGATTTTCSAGAGTTTGGCACAACACTTGGGGGGTTTCTTTTGCAATAATCATTTCTACAATTTTGAAACATTTTCAGTCGAGTATTTTCAGTTTAATGCCTCAAAAAATATTGAGCGTTGTCCTTACAAAAAGTGAACAAAAAAAAGGTGTAGTTTTGTGAAATCCAGGGTCAGCATCGATATCACATAACGTACCCTCGTAAAGAGAAGGATGTCCAGAAAATCCAAGTATCTGTTGGCCTGTATGCGACCAAGTTCCGTCTCTTCCTTTAGTGCTTCTTTTCGCTTTTTTACAACTTCCGCTTTAAAATAAATTTTAAAGTTTTAGCTCTTGCGTTCCACAAATTACAAACTGTTCACATCAGCTGGGTGGAGTTAGTTTACCTGTATGACTATGAGCCACTTTGCAGGCCTTCCTGTATCTGAAACCATGTGGGCTGAGGTAGAAAATGAGGTTGCTGTGGTATGGAAACGTCCTCTTCCGGAGGCTAACAAGATCGCTGAGCTCATACACTGCTTTGATGTACGCATTTGTTCCCCTGACATGGGAAAGAGGAGAACATTAACAACAACATTAAGAGCTACATTTCCTTTGCTTGTGACTGGAGATTTGATTTTAATCTGAAGCAGTAGAGAAAACAGGAAGTCGAATTGTGAATTGCRACAGGTTTACATAAACTCACCCCTCTGTCTGACAGTTGCTTTTGCAGCTAAACGCACACTGCAGGATGGTGTCAAGCGTCATAAGGCTCACGTGCTCAAATAATTCAAAAGTCTCATTGGTCTTTGCATAACTTTCCCATTTGTCCTGGAAACAACGAGAAAACAAACATTGCATCTTTGCAAAGGACATAAAAACACTGTATTAAWCTGAACAATTTAGATTTTTACATCCTTTGTAACATGTTAAATTGTTATGAATAGTAAATTACACCGTCCGGATTTGTATTCACATACCAGCATCGTTTTAGCAGACTGTGACATCAGCTGCACGTARGGTTTTAAAACATCATAATGGAAACCTGGAGTCAAGAGTCTTCTGTGGCGAAACCATTTCTTTCCGTTTGACACTAACAAACCATCTCCTAAAAACAAAGTCAGACATTGTAAGTGTTAGTGAGTAACACAGCTTAATAAATAACCCTGCCATAAGGGGAGAAAAAATATGTACAAAAAACAAAAAAATCTTACCAATCCAAGGCACGAGAAAAGAATATATAAATTCATCCTTTGGTTCTGTTGGGAGGAAGAGAAATAAAAGCTTTGTTAGATCAACTGTTAGATGCTACAATGAATCTGGTATAGGACTGCAAAATGACAACTTTAGCTGCTTAACTGCAACAGAAAGTGAAGATCAAAGACACACACCTGCTGATGTTAGTATGGTTTTTACATAATCTGGATGATGAATGCTGAGCAAGCAAAGAAAGGGGCCAAACCACAATGGAAAAGCATTAGGGTATTTCTTTCCCCACTCCAACGCTTTGAACAAATCAGTTCCATCTTGTTTAAACTAAAAAAGAAACAACAACAGAATGTGACTGAAAACAATGCATTGTTTGACTTCCTGCAGAAACTCTAGCCTGATGTGAACTGTGTTTTATGAGCTGTAATAAACAGCATATCACAAAAGTGTCGTAAATAGAAGCAGGAATAAACCCAGGT